CGTGACCTTGATGCGAGACCTGCTAGGGGAGCGGGCGGCCGCACGGGCACGCTTGTGGCCATGAGCGGACACGCTTCTGCCACGTCCTGTGTGGTCGGAGAGAGGAGGGATTCACCTGTGTGCATGTATGTGTGTGGTGCGCCCGTGCGTGTGGGTCACCGTACCCTTGGTGGTCCGCCTTCTTGGCGGGGGGTACTCTGTGTCGTGTTCGTCGCTCATCACGATGTTCTCCTCCTCTTCCTCCGAGTCTGACACTGACCGGCAGAGAAAAGGAACGACCCGACACATCTGCATTGCACGTTTCAGGCTTGCTTACGCGACTTGCGGATCACAGCCGTGGCGACCCTGGCCGACCGACGACGCTCACGATACGGCACGCCTGCATGCCCGCCCCACACATCCGCACACGCAATGAGTGCCACAGTGGACGTACATCCGCCACCCAGCCAGCCACCTTGCTTCTGGGCCAGTTTCCACAGCTCAAACTCCATCTGCTTGTCCCGCATCTCCCGCAGCCCCGCCTTAGTGAAGGTCGTACTCTTCATCCTCTTGGACCTCCTCCCGTCCCAGTGGTGGCACTCGTCCCGGATGCGCACATCGCGCACCGGCCAACCCCACTCCCCATCATCTCCTTGTGTGACGATGAGGGTGATGCCAGCCGGCACGCACACCATCACCTGGCGAGGCCCCGTCTGCTCAAACGTGGCCTCGCTTGCGCGCGTCCACCCGAGCCTCGAACCCATCCGGGCGATGAACGATTGGCGGCAGTCGGCCTCCGTGGTGTTGAGAGGGCGGTGTTTCTGGCTGTTGGGCGGGCGGGGTGCTCCGGCCTGAACGGCCTCCACTATGGATAACTCGCCTGCATCAACCCATCCACAAGGACCACCATTTATCCCCGGAATGAGCAGATGCATCCCTTCGATACCTTTCGTTTCGTGCTGCTGCTCGGTGGACTCCGACATGTGGCTGGCGTCGCATGATTCCTCATCATCAACGTGATGCGGCGACCTGTCCGGGCCGAGTGACACGATGCGGCGGCTCATTTGGACGGGACCAGGCTGACTTCTCTTCTGCATGGCCTCTAGAAGCTGTCGGTGCTGTGCAGAGGATGCATTCTACCTTCGCCGCGTCTGCCTCCTCCGATCGCGATCCAAGCTCGCAGCTCCCGCGAAAAGAGAAGAGAGGGGAGCGTTATGACAAAAAGGCCGCATACCGCGGTAATGGATCAGAAGGGCTGCGTCCGTGGCGGCCTTGCAGCTGGTGCTGCGAACCGCGAGCGGGCTGTGCTGCGCAGGGACTCCGAGGAGTCCGCCGCTGCTGCTGGTGCGCACCCTGCGGCGCCGACTCCCGGACAGACATCGAAGTACCCCTGTAAGCTGGCCAAGAGTCAATTATTCACTTTGCCTCCGACTTCTTTTTGGTGTCAGTTGACCTGTTTCTGGAGGATATGTTGGGCAAGGTGGACCGCAAGCTGACCAGCAGTGAGCGGACGGTCTTCGAGTTAAACATGAGTGAGCGCAGATAGAAACAGGCACACTCAAGGCCAAGATTCAACTCTCATGTGTCTTCATTGCAGTGTCGTGGTGGAAATCGATGACCTACGACGACAAGCGGAAGTGGATCATCAAGGTGATCCACTGAAGCACACAAACTCACCACACGCGCAGGGCTTTTGTTTGTCTCAGTATAACCGACTGAACAACCAGTAGTGTATGACGCCCACACCCAGGACACCAGGTGCGCCACGAGTGACCCCCACCGCCAACGTCTTGAGTCCGACTGCCACTCATACACACTCCCTCTCTCCCTCTCCCTCTCCCTCTCTGTCTCTGCAGGACCCGCCCTCTAGTGCATCCACAAGACAAGATGGACAGGAAGGTGGCTGTCGAGCCGCTGGCACCTGTAGTGTGCCCATGCGCTCTGTCAGCATGACGGAGACACAGACGATACCAAGACAGGCGGACAGACAGACAGACAGACAGACAGTCGTCACTGTACATGGAGGGTACAGGGAGAAGTGGGGCAAAGGGGATGGGGCACCTGTAGTGTGCCCATGCGCTCTGTCAGCATGACGGAGACACAGACGATACCAAGACAGGCGGACAGACAGACAGACAGTCGTCACTGTACATGGGGGGTACAGGGAGAAGTGGGGCAAAGGGGATGGAATGTCCGCTACTGCACCTTGGCCGTAAATTTCGGGGGGGGGTTGAGGGGGGTGAGGTTTTTTGACTTACCAGTTAAAGAGAGTCGGCGCTGTCTGCGACGTATGGCAGCAACGAGAAGAAAGTGCAGATGTCTCACAGGTCTTCCTACTGCAGCCTAGGCTCGGTCAGGATGGACCGAGCCTATGAATCAGTCAGTCTTCAATCAGATACACATAGACGACACACATACATCACACACAGGTCGGCTCCCCTCTCTGTCCCTCCCTCCCTCCATCTCCACCATCTGCACACGCAATGCTCTCAGGCTTCTCCATAGAGAGAGAGACATAGTTGAGAGTGGGGAAAAAACGTACGCTTACTTACGCAACCCACACACGGATGCACTCATAGTCGCGGTAGACACCAAGACAAAGCCATCCATCAACACGCTCGAGCCTCAGCGAGCGACAGCCCTTTTCCCCTCCGCCACCACGCCACGCAAGACAGCTGATCGATGTCATATGCGACAACTGCCGTGCGTTCCGTGATGCCGTTGTAGAAAAGGGACGCCACACTGCAGAGCTGTCTGTCCACCCTCTGCCCCCCTCTCCACCAGCCATCCACTCAGAATGCAACACAGCGGAAAAAGAGACACGTAAGGCATGAGCCGTCCATCGACCCCCATCCCAGCGATCACATCCCTATGTACACAGCCGCCGCCACCGCCACCACCAGCAGCATCACAACAGAAAACTTTGCATCTCACGAACGAACGAACGAATCAAATCACTCGTCATCGCGCTCATCGTCATCGGCATCATCTGGCGCGCCGGCAAACCACGGATGTCTCAGGGCCTCGTCGACGGTGACGCGCTCGACTGCGTCGGGATGCAGCAGCCTCCGCAGCAGGTCGCGTGCTGCGGGGTTGGGCAGCCCCACGCCAGAAGGGTCGCGCCGACGCAGCAGAGAGGCAAACTGATGGATGGACCACCACACATACCACACCACACAGTGTGGGGTTGCATGTTCAGCCTCTCCTCTCCTCTCCACTCCCCCCCCTCTCTCTCTGATGCTCACCTCTTCGTCAGAACACCTCGGGCCTTCATATTCATAATCAGCGGGTTTCTCCCCCCATTGTCGCTCGGCGTCGTAAGCGCCACCAGTCCTCTCAGCTGCCGCTGCAGGCGGCCCCGCACCCTCCCTCTCAGCCGGTGGGCCGCCACCCCTCACCGCCAGCGCATTGGCAGTGTGATACCCATCACCATCACCACCCCCACCCCCAGCTTCGGTGTCCTCAGCCAGCCTCACCACGCGCATGACACTGTCCCTTCGCTCCCTCCCTCTCAGGTCTCTCCTGTACAGGATGGGATAAATCGGTCCCGTCACTTCGTGCGCGTCTCTGATGGCCATCTGGTGGGGGTGGGGTTGGGGGTGAGGGGCGGCGGAGATGTTGTCGATTTGCATGAGAGGGAGGGGCGGCATGGTGACCGTGATGGCGTTCTGTGTGGGGATGAGGCAGAGGGCGTCAAGGGCGGAGAGCAGGAGGGATTGCCGGATGACGCCGGGAGAGGCGCCCTCTTGACGGAGATGGTGCTCCAACTGCCAGCCAGTACACACACACAGACGGACAGATCCACACATGACATGCAGAGCCACCCACATCCAGGCAGGCCGTTTCTGCTGACCGACCTTTGCCCTTTTCCTCTCGTCCTCAATCACAAATACATCCTTCCGCCCCAGCACCATCTGCAGCATGACCACCCCCACCCCCCAGACATCGTAGCTCGGCTCCCGCCAAAACCTATGACGCGCAAATCGATGGCTGCTGCCGCCGCTGCCGCTGCCGCCTTCAGTCGCCTCATCGAGGGGGTCTGCAACCGCCTCCGGTGGCCGGTGGTCGTGTGTTTCTTCTGTGGGCGAGGGGGAGACGGTGTCTGGGTAGAGGTAGGCAATGGAGAGAGGGAGAATGCCCTGAAACGGCGCAGCACTGCCCCAATCTGAAAGACCACAGCCGAGGTGACACACCAAGTGTGTGGCCATCCTGCATGTGTATGTGTGTATGTGTATGTGGATGGGGTTGGGAATGGGGCAGCACCAACCAGCGATTCTCAGGTCGATGGGGAGTAGTGGGGGCATCAGTACGTTCGCCATTTTGATGTCGCGGTGTGTCACGTTGTGGTGGTGGCTGTGGGCCAGGCCGATGAGCATCTGCCGCACCATGTCGCGCACCAAGTGCTCCCCGAGAGGGTGACGCTTTAGAGACCACCAGAACGAGCTCTGCGCGATGAAGGATGGGCGCACCACACACACACACACACAGAGATTGATGAGTGTTTCGCCCTCCCTCTATGCACTCGCTGTACTTCACACGCATTACATTACCGGCCTGAGTGCCCCCTGCAAGTTGCTGTCGGGCTGGAAGAGGTGGTTGACGAGAGAGTAGCCCTCGTCGTAGAAGACCAGCCATAGATCCCCGTCAGGCTCCTCGAACTTCTCGATGAAGCGGCTGATGTGACTCTTGCCGCGAAGCGCCTCGCCGTAATACGCCTGAACGAATGCCACCACACCAACAGAGAGAGAGAAAGGGAAACGCATTCGGCTGTGGCAAACATTGGTGTGGCTCACTCTTACCTCTCTGAGCCCACTCAGTCTGACAGCCTCGCCCCCCTGCTCGGTGAACATGCGTTTCAACACCACATTGGGCGGCCCCTTAGCGGGGTTGACGTTGATGGCCCGCCACACCTCGCCATACGCGCCCTTGCCCAGCCTCGTGTGGGGCGTGTACTGCTCCTCACGCGTAGAGGGCAGCACGGAGGGCCACTTGGCACCCATATACGGGCCCGACAGCCATCTGCACACACCACACAAGCACGCGACAGAGTGTGTGTCCTTCGTCCATCGTGTGCTGCTGAGCTTACAGAGCAGGGTTAACGCAGGTTTCTGGTGCGGTGAGCAGCAGCGGCGCCATCGCCCCGCTCTCCGCCACCCGGCCACTCTGCTGTGGCGGCAGTGCCTCCACATCCATGGGGTTGGGCAGTGCATAGTGCCGCCCGCCCCCAATCCTCTCCACCAGCACATACTGACCCCTCACAACCATCCCGCTCTCCAGCCGCCGCCTCGTCAGTCTGCTCCTTCTTTCATGGTCGATAGCTGCCGCCGCGTCGACGGTCCACGGCCCGCCCGAGAATGCATGTTTCTGCGCACCGGGGTAGAGAGGCGGCAATGGGGGATGCGGCGGGTCGGGGGATGGCTGTGGCGGCACTGGAAGCGGAAGGAAGGCGTGCAGGAGGATGGCGGCCTCCGTCCACAGCCAGGAGAGCACCGCCTGCATGGCGGCCGCCTTGTACGTTCTGTGCTCTCGCTCTCACGGACGGGTGAAGCACCCGTACAGCCTTAATTGCATCGTTGTCGTGCTGAAGCTCCTCTCAGCGGCGCTCTCTTACCCGAAGGACCTCGAAATTATCCCTTCCTCATTTGCGCGCTAAGCTCGCAGGGGCTGGGCGTGCGTGAAAGCGCTCTCTCTGGGAGCTTGGAGGAGCTTCCAAAATGGCTGAGAAGGAGAGGATGGACGCTGCTAACGATCTGCCGGCAGCAGCTGCAAACGAATCTACTGACGAGCACGATGACCTGGCGGCTCAGCTGGCGGCCATTCAGGAGAAACTCGATGGCTACGACGAAGATGAAGACGACAATGAAGGCAACGCCGAGGCGCCTGAGCAAGATGAGCAGCCGATCCCGCCACCTCCCCCTCCCCCTCCAGCGGCAGGAGCGCCATCGGACAAGAAGAGAAAAGTGTTGCTGCCGTCGCCCGACGAGGCCTTCAGGACGACCGAGAAGACCTTCCAGCAGTACGTCGACGCGCCGTCCGACCACAGGAGCAAGTTCGCCAAGATGGAGCACGTTGGCCTCGGTCCCACCCCTGGGGCGGACGGCCGGCAGCCATCGTCGGGAGCATCACGGGATCGTGAGGCGAAGGAGGCTGCCCAGCGGATCTATGTGGGCATCCCCGAGCCGACGTGGCATGTGGAGCATCACGACAAGCCGCCGCCACCTGAACCGGGAAGAAAGAAGAGAGACAAGGAGGAAGACGCTGGAGGCGGGAGAGAGAGGGAGAGGGAGCGTGGGCGGGGTGGCGCCATGAAGCGCGGCCATGAGCAGCAGCAGCATGGCGACAAGAAGGAGACGGTCAAGGATAGGGAGCGGATCAAGCGGATGAAGGGGCAGTCGTCGCAGCATGGGTGGAAGCCTGAGGAGTTCATGAGACTGAGGCAACAATTCGACTGACTGACTGAGTGTGGGTTTCGTTCGATAGTGTCGGTGTGGACGACCTCCACTGGGTGCATCTCACATAGTGCACCACTCGGTGGCGGCTGGCCACACCGGCGTCATCGGACGAAACACTCACACTCACACGCAGAGAGTGGGATGGGATCACATCACACATGGCGCCTAGCGGACCAGTGATGTTTTTGCCGTCGTGTCGAGTTGAGCTATGTTGGTTGTGTGGATGAGCTGTGTGTGTCTGTTGGCTGCTGTTCCTGTCCCGCTGTCTGAGGGAGATGGACTGGCTGTTGGCGCAGACAGACAGTTACTCTCACTGAGTCGATGGGACAGGTGCAGAGGTCACTGCACAGACCTTGATTCGATATGGAAGACTCGATTCAACTGCATATCTGGTCGGTTGCCAGATGTGATCCACATGCCAGATGTGGTCGGTCGACGTGAATGCACATCACATGCAGTCATTGACTTGTGTGTCTGTACAGTCCCAATGAATGCCCACATGTCATGGCGCACACACAGATACACGGCACCCATCGACCAGCCAGCCAGCCAGCCAGTCAGCCACAGCACACTAACTAAGCAAACAGCCTCCCATCCCATCCCACATCAAGAGCCCCTCCTGCAGGCGAACTGCAATAGTCTACACACACAGAGGCTCGTAGAGGTACGAGTCCATCCCTCCATGCATCCATCACTGGTTGAGGGGTGGAGAGGGCAGCGCCGTGGAGCTCTCGTCGCCAGCACCACCCTAACACACACATAGACAGGCGCATCCATCCATCCATCCAGCCCTGTTGACGCGATGCACCACACGGATGCATCCATCGATTCTGACTCCCTCACCTCTTGGTTGCCCCCGTTCTGCCCGTTATCGTTGTTTCCGCTCAACCCCGCCCCTCCCTCCCCGCTGCCCATGCTAGCCTCCTCCTCCTCTTCATCTTCTTCATCCTCCTCATCATCGTCCTCATCGTCTTCGTCTTCATCGCCGATGTCCTCCTCACCGTTACCTACACACACAAACAGAGAGAGAGAGAGAGTGTCGTGTCCCGGTGTACTAGGTGGTCTGCTGAGTACAAACCGTCTTCCCCCGCCTCCTCCTCCTCCTCCTCCTCCTCGTCTTCATCGTCGTCCTCTTCATCGTCATCCTCATCCATGTCGTCATCACCCCTAGCGCCCTCTCCAGCCCCCTCACCCACACCCATGTCTGTGTCGCCGCCGCCGCCGCCGCCGCTGCTGCCGTCCCCCTGCTGCTGCTGCTGGGCCTGTGCGGCCTCGACTAGGTGCTGGGGTGGCGGCACGAAGGCGTTGGGGTCCTCCTGCTCATCCGTCCAACGAATATTCTTCATCACAACCTGATGAAACGAAATGAGAGTGAGATGCGTGTGTGGCGTGTGTGTCTGACTGACTGACCCGTGGTTTGTCGCTGAGTATGCTGCGGGTGAGTTTGTCAGGGACGGGGTCTTCGGGCGGGTTGGCATCCAGCGCCTCGTCCTCGTAGAAGTTGTTCAGGTAGTAGCCCACCCTATACACAGGCAGGCCGCCACAGGCGCACGCGCACACACACAGCCAGACAGACACAGAGGAAGCAATCGTGTGGGCGACTGATCGGCATAGACACAGCCCACCCCACTGCCGTGCGTGGCGTGGGTACCTGAGGAACTCCTGTTCGTTGTATGCGGCGGTGATAATGACCACCGTGTTGCCCACGACGTCGGACTTCGGGACCTTGCTATAGTCAGGCGCACTCGTCTGCACCCACAACACAACACACCAACAACCACACACACAGCCATCCACCTCACTGTCGGCATGAGAGATCTCTCGATGGCTTCCTTGCCTGCAGAATGAACCGCATGACGCCGACGGTGAGAGGTCCGAGGAGCACCGACTCGAGCGTCTGGTCGTACTGGTCAAACTGCTGGTCCTCCGCTACGCCTGTGCTGCCCACATACGTCACCTTCCACTCCAAGTCTGCACCATCACATCACACAAACGCATCGCATCAACACCATCACATCACACAGACGGACGGATGCACCCATCTCATCTCATCTCGCCGCCACCCAATGAATGCATCCTGGTGGGTGGTGTGGTGTGTGTGGCGTCGGTCGGTCGGTACAGTACCTTTCTCAAGCTGCTGGAGGCACTCGAATGTGATTTCGAACTCGAAGGGCTGGGTGGCCTTGCAGGGGTTGTTCCGCACACTCACGTTGGTCACGTTGATGGCCGCCATCTGTGTTAGCTATGTGCCCCTCAATGCATTGAATCAGACGCTACGACTATTCTTATCTGTCAGGATTGCCAGCTTGGCAAGACGAACTACTGCGAGCTTGTGAGCTAGGGTAGATTGCTGTGTAACGGGTGGAGAGAGGAGAAGACAAGGAAAGACAAGGAAAGCATTCTGAGGAGACACGATCTTATCAGCCATCACCGAAGTGAGATCTGTGTTGACCACCCTTCATGATGCCATACATGGACAGAAACAACTTTGACTGATTGGCCAGTCCATCGGTCTTATTAAAGTAAAAGCACTCTTACTCTGGG